GGATCAGGATGTTTTGAGTTGAGGTAAGGGATGGGGTTTACGGGAAAATCCGAACAGAACTGTGTTTATATACACATTTTTAATCTGCATCTTTAAAAAGAATAAATTAAGAATCTCAAAATCAACATCAGATGTCGTGTGATGACTTCAACACAACAAATAACCTCTTAAAACAAAATATTTTGAAATCTAGTTCCTCCTTTGCTCACCTGCTGTTGCTGTGGTTCAAGGGGCCAGGGTTTCCACTGTGACAGTTCCTAAAAACCAAAAGCAACATGGAAAAAAATGCTTTGGTCCTACTAGTGTCCCCGGCAATAAAGGAACAGCAAATTGGTAAAGGTAATTAGTAAGCTGTGGAGAAATGTAGGTTTTAGTATCAGAATCATTTTAACTTCCCTTTGTTAGGAAATAATTTCATTTTTTATTTATTTTTATTTTTTCTTCTTTTTCCTTTTTAAACATTAAGGTTATTGGAGTAACATTGGTTAATACAATTATATAATTTTCAGATGTACATTATAAGTTGATATCTGTATATTCTATTGTGTGTTCACCACCCAAAGTCCAGTTTCCTTCAGCGACCATATATTTGATCCCCTTTACCCACTTCTCCCTCCCCCTATCACCCTATATTTGACCCTTTTACCCCGTCTGCCTCTCCCTTCCTCCCCTTTCCCCTACCCTCTGGTAACCACTAGTCTGTTGTCCACGGCCATGAGTCTCTGCTTGTTTGTCCTGTTTGTTTCTTGGTTTTAGGTTTATATCCCACATATAAGTGATTTCATGTGGTTTTTAGCTTTTTCTGTCTGGTTTATTTCGCTTAGCATGATTGGAAATAATGATTTTGAAATATTAGTTCACGGATTTAAAAGCAAAACAAGACCAGGCTATTTTTTTATGAAGGATAATAAAGAAGAAAACTGCCCAGTTTTTTTTTTTTCTTTTTCAGGCAACGTCTCTCCCTGCCCTCATTTCTCTACAAAATCTTTGACTGACGTATAAAGGCACATGCTATTATATCTTGTTCATGTACCACATCTGGTACGGGATTTATAACACGGGTTCCCAAGCCTGTCTAACACGTCATGCTGGCCGTTCAGTTTTAAATAGGAAGGTGTGAACTATCTCAAAGTTACTAAAACATTCAGATGAGGAAGCAAAAGCAGGAAGGTCCAGGTTCCTGGGGCTATTGAAACTACAAATATGGGCCCGAATATGACATTTCTGACCTCAGGTCAGATTCAGAGCTACAAGCAGCAGAATAATGTGTGCTAGATCTGACAACTCACCCTTTCATCCAACATTGCCGAAACGAAATACCGCTGCCATCCCTTATCCTAAGGAAAGCCAACACGCACAATTTGGGGCTTATAGAAAGGGTACCACCTACTTCGTTATGTCCTATTTCCAAACTGCAGACTGTTATGGGCTTAGTTTAATGATTACATTTAATTTTACTCAAGCCTTCATTAGGAGTCAAGAGTAATTCAATTAAAATAAATTTCCAATAAGCACATACTAGATACCATCCGTCCATCCATCCATCCATCCATCCATCCATCCATCCATCCATCCATCTATCCATCAATTCAAATATTTATTGAGCATGCATTAAACACCGTGCTGGGTAGTGGGGATACAAGAGCAACGTGGTCTTGAGAACTCTACAGTCCAATGACCATTGAGCCCCGCCAGCTAACGCACGGGTCCATCTTACTTAGAGCTAATTTAAATCTCCAGTCTACTTAAGCTCCCATGAGCTTCCCTCCTTCTATCAGATGACCCTCAGTTCTTGGTTTACTGAGTTTCAGTATAAAGTATCATCTCTCCTCTGAACCTTCAAATATTTCAGTGTAGATAACCATCTTTTCTCCTCTTTTGTGTTAAAGAGAAAAATCCCTCTAAAACGAACTTTCCCACAGTGCTCCTGGTTCTGTTCTTTGTGTTCTTCAGACTGTTCTCCATCAAGTTTTGTTTGTCTTTCTTCCATCTTTAACCTTTATCTCTTTCTACAGTTTTTCCTGCTGCGTAGAAATATAAAGAGGTCTACCCCCGTCTGCATTTATTACTCCCTTTCTACTCTTCCCCGATACTGCGGTGAGAATCCTGTCCTTGACACCAATACTTTCACTTCGCCCCCTAATCTGGTTTCTCAGCTGCCACGTTACTAAAGCTTTTCTAAAACCAGTAATGGTCCCCCAGTCCTTTTAATCCAATGGTCTCTTCTGTCTTGTTGCTCTTGAATCCATCAACTGATATCGTTTATTACTATCCTTTAAATGTTTTGATTTTCACAAATCTGCACTGTATTTTAGGCCCTGTTTTCTCCGATTTTGCCTCTGTACATCTTCCCGATGTCTATTCTTACTCTCTAAATGGAGTCCTACGAAGCAGCAGTTTTCAACTTTTTTCCTGCAATGACAAGTAACGGTCACTCGAAGGACCATTGTTTTTGATCCCCTGTTTTGGGTCACAGGATTACTCGGATTATCAGCTTCAGTGTGCCTGGGCCATGTTTGCCTACAGAGAAGTCCGGCCCTGTTTACCAGCCCCGTGAGTCTTAGAGCCAGGCCTGGCTCCCCAGACTCTCTCTCCCCTCATTCAGGGGTTGGAGTTGATCTCTTGGACCCTCTGTCTCAGGCAGCTAGTAATTCACACCCCAACATCTGGGTTTAGGTCAAGAGTCTTAGGCCTAATCAAGTTCACAAGCTATATATTGGGGTATCGGGCCTGTGCCAAGTTAATAATAAAATAATATTTCAATTCTTAGATGCTTATATATATTTTTTCACCCTTCGGAACCTCCTAGAGAAGGAAATCTGAGACTTAAAAGAGCACTGGCACACGCCTGGGCCTCAGGCCATAATGTCATCTTTTTTTTTCCTCCTCTTTATTAGACTTTTAAAAAGTCAAATACATGCTTCTTGTACCAAGTCACATAACACAGAGCTCTATACAAAAAAATCTTTCCTTCTTCATATTACACCCAACTAAAGCAATGAACATTAAGACTCTGGAGAGTATACACACATACTTTTATCAAAAAATATGAAAAAATTTACATATGTAGGATACATTTTTAAACACAACTGCAATCATATAATACATTCTTCTGATCTTGCTTTTATTCCCACTTCATAATATGCCATGGTCAATATATGGAGATTTAACAAATTCTTTTTAAAATCTTAATACCCATAATACTAGAATCCTTTCCCCGCATCCCTACACTTTTACAACAATCTTTCTACTGGTGTGCTTGCCTTCCTTCTCTTCCTCTTGAGAATCACAGCACATGAGAATATTAAAAATCATTGTCAAACAGCAACATTTATGATGAAAAAAGTGATGCCTCAAGAGATTAATGGACTTGCCCAAGAATGCTAAATCAGTGGGAGATATAGTCATTCATTCCTTCATTCGATGAATAATTGTGAGCATCTACTACGTACTGTGGAGCTTAATTCCACGTATTGTGGACCTTAATTCCAGGCTCTGGTATTGTGGAGCTTAATTCCAGGAAGAGACATGCAAAAAAACCCAGATAAACAAATAACCACGATAAATACAGACTACGATTAGTGCCATGAAAGAAAAATAGGGTGAAATAACTGAGTAATGAAGAAGTGCCTACTTTAGATAGGACGGGCATGAAAAGTATCTTGGAGTAGATGACATTTAAACTTTTACCTTAAGAAGAAGTGAGAGAACAAATCGTCAGAAGAGGCAAGGCAAAAATATGCCGGGGCTGGGGGGAGGGGGAACCCCAGCAAGAACAGAGAGGAGACCAGTGTCCCTGGTGGGCAGCGAGCAGGGGAGAAGGCTGGCAGGCGATGAGGTTGGAGAAGCAGACAGGGCAGGTCACACAGGCCTCCTGAGCTCTGGCAAGAAGCCTGGGCTCTGACCTGATTTGAGGATTTTAAATAAGGATTGACACAAGCAGATATTTACATTTAAAAGGGTTACTCTGGCCTCTAGATCAAGAAAGGATAGAAGGCAGGCAGTCAAGAATGGAAGTAGGAGCTCACTGCAGGAGTAGAGATAGTCGATGGTGGTGGCTTTGATTAGGATATTGGTAGACAAATGGAGAGATGTGGGCAGAGTCAACAAATCTATGGAAAAGATTTTTGGTAAGATTTGCCGATCAATGGGTGTGTGGTCGAGCAAAAGGGTGGTACCGAGAAGGAATCTTAGGGTGAGTTGGTAAAACTGGTACCTAGGGCCATTTTCCGTTCTGTTTTGGATAAGTGATGTTTAGGAAGCTGGCTAGTCTTCCACGTGGGAATGCTAATTGGGCGAGTGGATACAAACGTGGTGCACAGGGGAAAGCCGGAGCTGTGCCGTGGGAATCATCAGCATATTCGTGGTACTCAAAGTCGTGGACAAGGGTCTACGGCCATGCCACCCTGAACACGCCCGATCCCATCTGATCTCGAAAGCTAAGCAGGGTCGGGCCTGGTTAGTACTTAGATGGGAGACTACCTAGGAAGACCAGGTCCTGTAGGCGTAAAAAATAAAAAAAATAAGGGACTGTAAGCTGACAAGGTCCTTGCAATCTGTGAGGTCAACCAAGGGTTGCCTCGCCTAAAAAAAAAAATTAAAAAAAAAAAAACATAGACCTAACAATCTCACCCACAGAAAAAGGGTAGTGGAAAGTACAGGATGTAGCTTAGGAATCCCCCAACACACAGAGGTCAAGGATGGGGATAAGAGGAGACAGGACAGGTGACCAACAAGGTCCCACCATGAGACAGGAGTGAAATCAGGAGCACATGGTGTCCCGGAAGCCAACACATCAAAAAAGCGTTTTAGGAAGAAGGACGGAGTCGACTGGGTTGAATGCTAATGATCGATCAAGTAATGTGATTAGTAAATATTGACCACTGATTTTGGCAATGTGTAGATTATTGAAGACTTTGACAAGAACAATTAGAGCAGGGAGGTGGGACTAGAAACCAGCTTGCAATGGGCTGTTTTGGAGATTGAAAATAGAGAGTGAGTACTGGACAATTTTTAAGGAAGTTTTACCATGAAAGGGAACAGAGAAGGCAGGCTGCAGTTAAAGGAAGTTGTAGGGTCAAGACATGTCTTTTTAAGATGGGAAATATCAGAATATTTTGTGTGACAATATAAATTATCCCGAGAGGGAGACATTTATGATGCAGGGATGAGAGAAAATATGAAGGAGGGAGAGATTGCCATGGGATTGAGAATATTTGCAAGGAAGCAATTATGATGACCGACCATGAGGAGCACA